CTTCATCCACTTGCCTCCTAGTTCTTTCCTCTATTTCCTTTTACTTTCCTCTTGTCCCACTATCATGCTCAGCCTTCATTTGGGTTTCAGTATTTCCTCTAGGTTACATTACCCTTGATCAAGCCCTACCAGGTCTCTTATACCCTCCTTGCCACCAATTTTGGATCACTTGTTGTTCTCTTGTCCCTGGGTTTGTTAACACCATTTTGAAACAAACCAGTTTTCTCTCATCTGTACTAGTGTATGAAATTCATTGTCTTTTCCCAGTGCTCTTGCTATAACCTCCTCACATCTCTTCCTGGACCACCTTCCCCTTCTAGTCCACTGGAAAGAACAGCTCCTTCAGAAATCTGATCCTGTCACTCTCCAATTCAGAACGGTTCACTGGCTTCTCATTGTCTTTAGGATTAAGTCCTACAAGTCTAACATGGTTTACAAGCTCCCACAGCAGTCTCACATCCTTACCTTTTCAAGTCTACACTGCTCCATGCTTTCCCATGCCCCTGTGCTATATCCAAACTACCTTCAACTGGTCTCCTAAGCAAACTAAGGAACTGCCCACCGCACGGTCTCAACGGATATTTCTCCACCTGAGCCTTACTCACACTTCGTGCCTGCCTGACTGCTGCTCATCAGTCAAGTTCCAGTAGTAATCTTCAAGAAAGCCTCGCTAACCCCCATATTAAGTTTCCAAACACACTGCCATCACATCCATTCTGGTTATAGTGACCCTATACAGGGCTTCCAAGAGTAAATCTCTGGTAGCATATTACGTTATCCTCTTGCCCGTGTTAAATTAAGTTCATCTATAAAATATCTTCATAGCATTAGTTTGCCTTAAAGGGCTCAACATAATTGTAATTGATGAATTTGCTGATGGTTCAATGTCTGTTTATCTGTACCCAAGCTCCATATTATCAGGGGTCGTGTCTGGTTTTTTCCCCATAGAAATCTCAATTACCTAGCATAGAGCCTGGCACACATGTTCTAATTAAATATTTCTCAAGTTAATAGGTACATTATAAAAAGACCTTTGAGTTTTCCAAAAATAGATATATTCTCCTGTGTCTACTTTTTCCTATGAGTAACAACTGTGTAGATTGGAACTTTTATCTTAATTCAAGGGATGGGTATGTGTGTTGTATGAATAATCTCATTGCCCTTGACAGTGATTGGTCTACGAATGGATGTGTGAACCAATTCTGATCAATGGGACATTGAAGAGGGTTATTTCAGGGCTCTTGAGAATTTTTTCTCACCCTTGACATGGAGCCACTAGACACCGGATTCCAAATAGGTGTGGACACAGAAAAATGCAGCCTGCATTACTATCAGCCACTGCTCTGTGAACATGAAGGGAACTAGCCTTAGGAAAAAGCCAGCCATTGGGATAGTAACGTGTAACAACAGAATCTGAACCCTTCCTGCCGTATTTTCCTTGCTGATTGGTTAGCCAGCCCGATATAGATCCTTGCTTATTGTTGATAATACAGTCCATGTTGTCTAAGTTAATGTGAGTTGGGTTTCTATTATTTGTACCCAAAAGCATCCTGGATCATCTTTCTGAACAGCTCAAATGTAATAATAGCTGTCAACAGAATGAAAACCATTCTTATATAGATTAATAAGGATACCTGAACTTTATCTGTTTGGGAAAATAGTTACAGTATAATATTTAATATGCTTTATTGATGCTCTTACTTTGCAGTAACCTGACGTCAT